AAAAAAAAAAAACGGTGCCACAATCCTGGACTTCCTTGTACAACGCCCTCTCTTCTTCGCAACCGAGACAAAACTCCCACACACACAGCCGCCCACACGCTTCGGTGTCAAAAATCAAGCCCAAAAGAATCACCCTCCCTTCCCCGGTGGCTCGAACTCGCTTGGAGTTCCTCTCGGCGGGCTTAACACGCTTGAGCCAAAAAAAAAAAAAAAAGATGAAGAGAGAACCCAAGAAAAGGCTCTCAAAGGACAGACAAAAACTCTTGTTTCTTCTCAAAGAGCAGCGCGCGATCTCAAACGCCTCCGCCCAACATGCGCTCGACAGCCATGTTAACGTTCCCCTGTGAGGCCACAAGCGCCCGCACGCAGGCGGCCCTGTCCGTGAAGCCCATGTCGTTCATCTGGGTTAGCTGCGCCGCGTACGTCTCCTCGGGGTTCGCCACCGGGGGCGCCGTGGACGCGGAAGGGGGGGGGGTTGCTGCTGTTGCGCTTGGCGTCGTCGTGTTCGAGGAGGGAGACGACGACGACGACGCTGGTGGTGCGGCTGCCCAAGGGTTATTTGCCGCACCCGCGCCTCCCAGCAAGGTGGAGAAGTCGAGACCGCCTGCTGCTGGAGGAGTTCCTGCGATGATCGGGGGGGGAGGGAAGCCACGCAGGGATGAGTGCGGTTAGCTTTTAGGATATATACTTCTACAGATACAATTCCTGAAAAGACTACCCGTCCAACATTTAACCACAGCAGTAGTAGACGAAGGGGATGGGTTGTACCTTTAGTTTTATCAAGTGTTTTCAGTTGTTTGCAGCAGTACAAGCTTTCCCAAGAAGGGCACGCGCCGCGGTCATGAGGCCCGTCGTGGTGCCCCCCGGATATAACGCACTCAACAGAGGCCGCCACACGGCATCACAGGCAACACCAACTTCCTCTGGACGCTGGTTCCCTTCAAGGGAACACCCCCCCCCCTCGCCTTAAGTTATGTCTCTCTGTGGAGGCTGGTGTGTACATGAATATCCACGAAAGCAGCACGAGACAATGCCCTAACTCGGACAATCGGTCAACCGGGGAGCCCGTACACTCAGAGGAGACATCAACGAGCCACCAACGGAAAGAAGGATCATATGCACAGCAACAAAAACGGTAACAATTTTGGGACCCCTCCCCCCCCCCGAACCCCCCTTTTAATCTAAGGGAACCTCATGTTCATTTTTCACCTCCCCCCAAGTTAAAGGTCCCAAAGTTGCTCAACCCAGCCAATCCCGGGCCAAAATCCGCCCCACCCCCCCCGGCGCCGGGGGGCCCGGGCATCATGCCGGGGGGGAGCACCCCTGCTCTTTGCAGCTGCTCCATCCACTGCTGCATCTGGGCCAGGGCCTGGACGTTCTGCGGGTCGGCCATCCGGCGCATGAACTGCGGCAGCTGTCCGCGCAGGGCGGGGTTCGCCTGTTTCATGGCGGGTGGGGGGGGGGGTGTACTCATAGTCGTGCATGCCGTAGTCGTTAGACCATTGACCTCGCATCCCTACAAAGCCGGGACGGAGCACGCCGGGTTCTCACCGGACCAGGCTCTCACATCACCAAGCGCGAAGCGCCGTGAGGTATTTGGCGAGTCGCATGAAGGGTGAGCTGCATCCTGCTAAGGGTGGTCGGCATCTTGTGCTTACCTTCTTGCGTACGGATGACAGCTGCGTATGACTTAATTTACTTTCTGGTGCTTTCACTTCCAGAGACAGTTGTAAGCACTGTGTAACTGCCTCGAGGATGCTTGACCATCTTAACACAACGTGGTGCGATCATCCCCCGTTGCGCGGGGTGAGGTTTCTCGACCCCGCACAACATGATCTACTCGACCACCATTATGGTTACCGCCAAAAAAAAAGAGAGGTAAAAAAAAAAAACGGTAACCTGGTTGCCGAGTTCACGAAGTGAATTGGCTTGTTTTACAACGTCGTTGCCAAGCGACGGAAACCCAACCCCGATGGCAAACACCGAGGGGGGGGGTTGTTTTACAACATCTTTGCCAAGCGACGAAAACCCAACCCCGATGGCAAACACCGGGGGGGGCGGCATGTTTTACAACGTCCTTGCCAAGCGACCAAAACCCAATCCCGATGGCAAACACCGGGGGGTACTCAGGGGGGTGTACTCAGGAGGGGGGAGGGGGGTAAGGGAAGCGAACATAAGACGGGGAGGGTTCTCACTCCACACCAGCGACAATACGATGCCGCCACACGACGGATGGATTCCATGAAACCGGTTCCCACTGCGAACACCACCCCGTGATACAACTCCCAGAGAGCCAACGGCAGTAGGGCGACATACCGCACGAAAAAAAAAAAGTAGAATACCTGCAGCGCCTGCTGGAGCTGGGGGTTCTGCGCTATCATCGTCTCCATGATGGCAGGGTCGTCAGCCATCTGGGACACCATCTGTCGGTAGGTGGTGGTGTTGGTAGCGGCATTTCGCAAAATGGCCACGACGACAGGGGAATGGGGGGGAGGGCACAGGGGGGGCAAGACGGGCGGGTGGAGGTGGAAGAGAGTAAGCCTAGCCGTGTCTTGCCACTATTCCAGTCGACGGTGAGAGCACGCACCACTGGCACGCTTGGCAGGAACGTGTGCGTGTGTAGCAGCGCTTTGGTGAACTAACTGCCCTTGCTTAGGCATCACATTGGATGGGAGACTAAACTACTGCCCGGTGTATTGTGGTGTGCGTTGAAACGGGACCACACCCGTGCGACACGAGCAACACACACAGAAGGGGAACGCATCACAAGCACCATCACCGCTGGCTATCATCCGCCTCGTGGCAAAACATCGGTGACGCAACAGCAGTACGACGACACTTTTTTTGCAAAAGAGCGGTGTCATCCGACACACCTCATGGTTGTAGCTGATACCGGCGTGCAACACCAGGCACAAAAACACGCCCATCCCCCCCCTCCCCATGACTTCGTAAACGAAAATCAAAAACACCAACACGCCTCACGGCTCTCCAGAAAAAAAAAACAAGCAAGTCCTACCATTAACATTTCCACGATTCCCCCGCTAAGCCATGGGAGGGGGGGGGGGATTGCTTCATCTACTCGTGCCTACAACCGCGGGGCCCGCTTGAAACTCACCTGCTGCACCATTGGGTTGTTCATCATCTGCTGCATCATGGCCGGATCCATCTGCCCACCACCCGGCATTCCGGGCATACCACCCCCTGCTGCTCCCATTCCCTGGCGGAGGGCCGCCCATGGGTTGGCGCCTGGAGTTTGGGCAGGGGCATTGGTGCCGCCGGTTGGTGCCGCGGCTGGTGTGCTGAGGGGACGGGGAGGGACAGGGAGACGAGAGAGAAGAGAGAGAGGGAGGGAGAGAGAGACAGACAGGCAAAGGGAAAAAGAGAGAGAGAGGGGGTTAGAGAAGAGAGTGAGAGTTTACAGGGCTAAGGCAGCCTGAACAATACAAAGGACACGCGTGTGGTGAGAGAGTGTCGAAACAAGCAAAAAAAAACATGACACGATACGAGTCCAAAATCACACTGACCAATGCAATGGACACGCATGTGGTGAGAGAGTGTCGAAACAAGCAAAAAAATAGATCACACGATACGAGTCCCAAATCACACGCACCCAGCTGCAGCCCACGGGTTCGGTAGCGCGGAAGTGTTGGGGCCTGCCGAGGGGTTCGCGGCGGGCGTCCCGGCGTTGTTGTTGTTCGCCCCCGCCGTCCCCGCGTTGTCGTTGCCCACCATGCCCTCGCTCGCCTGCATCATGGGTTCTTGGACCTCCTGTATACATTCACGTACGGGGAAGTTTCGTGGTTGTTGGTGGTGGTGATGTGCAGGTGTTGGTGAGTGTTCCTAGTGGTCGTATGCTGCTTGAGTTGCTGTCGTTGTGTTGTTGTGGTTGCTGTTCTTGTTCTTGTTGCCATAACGGTGGTGGTAACTTTATGCTAAGTACTTGCGTCGCTGTTGGTGTCGCTGTTGGCCATCTCAGGTGGTGTCTGACGGGCACATGTTGGTTGGGCAGATAACAGCAGTGACACAACCGAGAAGAACCTCGGGTGGCAAAAACAAAAACCACACAACTCCACTGCACCCAATGACAAGGCACTAGACGCCTTCCAAGTCGCACAACATGAACGAAACACAAAACACACGCTTACGTCCTGCTGTCACGAGCGGAGACTCAACACGAAAAAATCCGCTACCGTCGCTATAAAAAATGTTCGCACATCCCTGCCATCTCCAGATGAAAAACAATACAAAAAAATGGATGGCATCTTACCGTGTACAGCCTGCGAAGGGCGTTGAAACCGCCCGGCTGGTTCTCGATCTGGCTCATCATCAGGTCCTGGCTTCGTCGGGCCTGGTTCATCGCCTGTTGCGGAGAAAAAGAAAGTTGTTCGTTTGTTGTTCTTGCCCTGAGCGAGCTTCAATAGCTGCCAACGTTGTTTGCCGTGTCTTCGTTTCGGATCTTCTTTGAAAGTGTCAACCTACTTTTGACTGCAAGTGTTCGTTTCTGATCTTCTTTCGACGCGTCCCCTAACAAACCAAACACAACCATCTAAGGGCTACTACTTCCCACTTTTGAGTTCATGTCTTCGTTTCTGACCTTAACCGACGTGTCGCCTAATTCACACACTAAGCAATACTTCCCACGTTTGAGTTCATGTCTTCGTTTCTGACCATAACCGATGTGTCGCCTAATTCACACACTAAGCAAAAAACACCATGAAACGAAGCACACACAGCAGCGTGTCGTCGTTTCTGATATTCATTCAACTCATCCCCTAAACAATGCCAAAAAAACCATGAACTGAAGCACATACACACCTCTGGGTTGCGAGCCATGTCGAGGTATTGCCGCATCGTCGCAGGGTCGTTAAGCACCTGCGCCAGCTGGGGGTTGTTTTGCATCACCTTCGAAGGCGAAGGCCGAACAAAAGACACACCGGCAGCGGAGACGGGACGGGACTTGTTCTGTTACAGTAGCTCCTACAGAAAGAGACGACCATTAAAACACGCATCTCTAGTAACATGGGTACCGTTAGCTCCCGCTCCCGCTGAGATTCTCAAAACCAAAATGCTTCAAAACCTAAACCTTCCTCACCGAGCAAGTAGGGAGCAAGCAAACGTGCGACTAAGAAGAACGCAGACAAGAGTACTGTAGCCGCATGGCCGTATCAACGAGCTCAACAGAAAAAACTCGCTGCGTGAGCACCTTTCATCTTCGACCAGACTTTCCACGTGTGCACGTAGACTACAGCGTCATCTTCGTTCTTACATATCGCCCCCCCCCCCCCCCCCCA